CAAATTACCTCATACTCAACAAGTGACACGTAAATTACATGCAACTATGCCCATCATGCCTATTCCATATTTGTCCAACTGTAAGGTCTTCCATCAAAGACTCATCACGCTTAAGATAAATGTTATATATTCCTAATCAATTAGAAATTAATCAAACCAAGCTAGAATGAATTGGCAACCAAATCTAGGGCAACAAAATCATACCGACATCTTTTATGTGCCGACCAATCTAGGGCGTGTTGGCCAATCTAGGACGTGTGATTGGCAACCAAAGAAATTCCAAATCATTTTCATACAGCCTACTTAGCCAAAATACACAAATAATGCATCTATCAATTTTTATTTATTCAACAATCGTCATCCATAAGATGCCAATGGCTATTTTGGTCCCCCTTTAAGAGTTGTTCATTCCCATTGTAACCATTGTAAAGTACTCCTATAATTATAACTTTTTCGATTAGAGTAGATTGTCAGAATTCGAAGATTAATTTTTCGATTGGGAACACTAGCCTGAAAGTCAGCCCGCCTCATTTTCTAATCCTCGGTTTGTGCCTTCAACCAATACTATACGTCATTACTATTCTTGTCCAATCAACATATTTATCTTGACATTCACATACATTGACAATTGCCAAACTTCATTATAGATTCTAACATTCTTGGTCTTGGTAGCTATATGAACACTAGAAATTTCTTGCGAATAAGGTCAAGGACAAGGACATATTTTCTTTGGGTTTACACAAATGCGACCAAAGAAGATGTAGTTTTCAGCGTTTAATAATGAGGGCCATGCTTTCTTGTAAGCAATGCTATGCTAATGCTTTGTCCTTGATTAAATCCAAAATCAGTTGCAGGACTTCCTTGTAGCTTTATGATTAGCTCTTGTCGGGTCAACTTGAGGAGTCATGAGATGTAGGGTTCTTTGAAAATGATGGACGTGAAGTTTTACATTTGGATTCTTCTGATCTGAGCACATAACGTGTGTACCCTTGTGTGTATCACTTTCATCAATTAAATCTTGACCGTCCATCTTTTCAATATGTTTTTTATGATGGCATTTTCAGATCATGGCCCACATGCATTGTAATGGTATTGTATAGTGCCTGTTTTGATTTGGAAATTATAAATGACGTCTTGCCATTGTTTTCAGTAAGACCAAGTCAAGTGCGTATCTTTGAAGATCAAACGACTTTAGGAAAAATTCTTTGGAGCTTTTATTTTTTTTCATCTCAAGAAAGGAGTCAAACTTAGCCACACAAGAAAAATGTTGCTTTTATCCTCTTAAAAGCACATAAAACATCACAATGAATAAAACTTGCATGTCACGGATATATATATGCTCTTTTTTTATCTCTCTTTTTACGTAAAAAGTCATATGTATAGTTAAATTTTTTCCAACATTGAGAGTCATGTAAAGAGAGAGATAGAAAAATGACTGTTGCGAGGTAGAATCACCCATGGGCGGAGCCAAGTAAGGCCTACAAGGGTCACTTGACCCTTCTCACCCTTTGATAATTTGTTTTTGTATGTGTTGCATTTGACTGAATTACTTTCTATATTACAAAGCTGACCTTTCTCATCTTTTGAGTTTATTAACTTTTTTATTTTCTCTTTTTCTTTGTTTACTAATTAAATCCTATAACAATTAAAGTACACTACAAAATCCCTCTTGACTCTAGTAGTATCCTTTTTCTAACACATAAACACACCTCATAATTCCTATGATTTCTCGTGATTTCTTTAATCGAATGGGCCAATCAATTAGGCAAAATTCTCACTCTCGCTATTTAAGATTGACCCTCCTTGATAAAATTTCTGGCTCTGCCACTGAAATCACCCAAAATACAAAAACATAAATAGGATGGTGGTGCTTGGTAAAATTGCGAATCACCCAAAATACAAAAACATAGATAGGATGGTGGTGCTTGGTAAAATTGCTTACAAACAATAATAAAATGATTTTCTATACTGCTATATAAAATATTAAAGGTATATGCATATTTTGTGTGTGATTAAAATGTCACTTTCTGTGCAAACTTATCAGGAATTAAGGCTAGACATGATGTTGAAACTTTGGTCATATTGTAATAATTATGATTGGTATTCTTTCTATAATTCCATCTCTTGTTACTTGTGTAATGGATATGGATAAAGCATATAATATTTTATATGGAAACGTGTAAATAGATGCAAGGTCTTAAAGATTGTGCAAGACTCAGACAATTTCTCGTCCGAAAATGGTGCCACTCTTTGACTTCTATCAAACCACAACTCTTCATTTTTAATTTTTCATTTCTTCGGTCAAAACTAAAAGCTTACCACAGCCAACAAGTTAAGCAAGTTTTATGGACAATATCGGGTGGGATCCTGCTAGAGTCTAAATGAAAGTACTTTGGGTCTTATACTAGCAGAAAAACTAGTGTGAAATGGGAATACCATTGGCCAATCATATACTGTCACGTATAGCATGTTATGATTGATCGGGATAGCAAAGCAGTGCTATCCCCATTTCACGCGAGTGTTTTTCTTTATACTAGACATACTCCATGTGTGAAAATTGAGAAAGTCTGTCTTTGATGATCTTGTGCATTCTCCAAGACCAAGACATTCAGACTCGCATAAGATTTTATTTTATTTTATTTTATTTTTAAATTTTCTTACAATCTATAACAATTTAGTGTCTCAAAATTTTTACACTAGCAAATAATTTCAAATTTCATGTATTGAATTCAATTTGAGTTATCCCTTTCATGTTCATCAACCCAATGAATCACATTCGTAACGTTGCCGCCACACACTAAATAGTGGATCAGAGTTTTTGACTTATAAGTTTATATTTTTATAAAATGACAAGTATCGGTGAGGGATGATTCAAATTTTGAGCTTTGGATGCAGAAGTAAATGCGTCACTAAACTTTTACGCGCCCACATGATCTCGATGTTTTCGGATGTCTGAAAATCAAGTTCGATGAATTGTGAATTATAAGCCCTCACTAGAACTTTGGGTTCAGTTTCTGATGCTCAGGTATAACCGCGTTTAGATGTTTCTAAAACTTGTTAACAAAACGTGTACGCAATTTCTGAAGTTGAAGCTTATCTAAGCAAGTCCATGTTATTCAGCAAGGAGTGAGCCAACTGCTATGAGTCTCTCAACCGAATGAATGGTCAAAATATCGGGAGCCTAAAGCAGAACGAGTACAAGTTTTATAAAATCCCTAATTACACTCCACCTCTATTTATGTCTTCTTCATGGCTATGCAATTATCTATATACAAGTCTAAAACACTATTACACCGAAAGGGAGAGAAGGTATGAACTAGAACAAAGAGAATTAGAAAATTTTCCAATCAATATTTTCAACCAAATTCAATTCACATGCTAAAAGTCCAATTCTCTTACAACTAATCTCATAATAATAATAAAAATTCTAAAATACTCTTAATATAGGAAGCCCTAATAATTAGACCCTAAATTTTTTAAAGGCTTATTATCACAAAACGTCCCTGAGGTTTGCGAAACTATCACATTGCGTCCTTTATGTTTTTTTTTTTGTCATTTATGGTCCTTAAGATTAATAAGTGTCCTCACAAATAGTCCTTGCCGTCATCTTCCGTTAAAAAGTCTGTTAAGTTAATGATGTGGCACATATGTGGGTCCCACATATCCAATAATATGACGCCATGTTGATTAAATAAAAAATAATTTCAAATTATAAACCATTTTTAAAAACTTTAAAAAATTATAAACCAAAAAAAAAAAAAATCACCACCTCCTCCATTACACCAAACCCCCACATCCTTCGTCCAAAAAAAAAAAAACCCCCCATATCCAGCCTCCTCCATATCCCCTCCATTCACCAAATCCCCACATCCTTCGTCCAAAAAAAACCCCCCATATCCAGCCTCCTCCATATCCCAACTTGCTATCCCAAATCAACACCCACAACAGCCAACCCAAACCTTGATATGCCAGGAACCTCACCCACTGCCCGTCTAATCTCCACCACTAAAGACCAAAATTGGATGCTGGTTAGTAAAGGCCAACTGAGTGGGTTGGGTGGGCTTAGTGGTTGTCTGGGTTTGCTTGGAGGGGAGGGGGGTGGAGTTTAGGTTGGTTGCTGTCAAATAAAGACGGCATGGAAGAGACACAAAAATGGAGAGAAAAGGAGGAGGGCGGGGTAGTGGTGCGGAGGGTGGGGGTGGGCTTAGTGGTTGTCTGGGTTTGCTTGGAGGGGAGGGGAGGTGGAGTTTAGGTTGGTTGCTGTCAAATAAAGAGAGCATAGAAGAGAGACAAAAAGGGAGAGAAAAGGAGGAGGGCGGGGCAGTGGTGCGAACGATGGGTGAGGATAGGTGCGGCTATTGGAGGTGTGAGAGGGAGAGAGAGAGGAGATGTGGGTGGGAGCGAGGAGAAAAAGGGGGAAGGGAGAATGGTGGGGGTTTGGGGTTTAGTGCGATTTAGAAGATGATGGTGATTTTGTTTTTTGTTTTTTTGTTTTTAATATATTTTCTTTTCTTTTAAGTTTTTTAAAATTAAGTTTCAAATGTTTATTTTATTTAATCCACATGGCGTCATATTATTGGATATGTGGCCACATCATCAACTTAACAGACTTTTTAACGGAATCTGACGGCAAGGACTATTTGTGAGGACACTTATTAACCTTAAGGACCATAAATGACCAAAAAAAACATAAAGGACGCAATGTGATAGTTTCGCAAACCTTAGGGACGTTTTGTGATAATAAGCCTTTTTTAAAATAAAGCCAAATGAGGAGTAAGCAACCCTTAATTTCTAATTCTAGTAAGTAAAGCGGGTTAGGGAAAAAGACAAATAAAAACAAGACACAAAAACCTAATTTTTAACTCCTTCCATGCTTAAGAAGATAGATACAAATCTTCTTACATTCATCATCCAAATTAGGAATCCACATTCACAAAACCCATATTCTGCACCAAACTTCCCTGCCATCACACAAAATCTCCCCCTATGATATGAAATCATGAAGTCTTAAAATCAAATTAGATGTCTGGATAGAAAAGTGAAAGTAATAAGCTTGTGTTATGGCCGGCCCCTCCTAACGGCCTTTGCACTAACAAAAACAAATAAAAAGGAAAGGTAAAAAAGGTTCACCAGGAATAACAATTAGCAATGAATAGAAACTCATTGAGTATCAGTGTTATATGATTTAGACATACAGGGTCGACTTGTTGGCGCGGCAAACAGGACATTTGAAATGCCTAACTATTCAGATCCCTGGTGCCTTCGTGTTAAAAAAAATCATGGAACAGATGATTTCGGGGAGACTTAATTAGCTGTTAGCAGCACTATTTGTTCCACCAGAATAATGATGCATCACACAGTTCTTCAATAAGCAAGTAGGTGGACCACTTCCAGCATTATGGAGCATTTCTGTTATTGATCAAGCTGCCACAAAAATAGCAGAAAGCAGCGCATATTTATTCATGATTAATACTAGAGCTACATGTCAAAATGTTCTACAAACGTGCTGACCAAGAAAGCTATTACCCAATTCTAACCATGCTGTGGACACTCTTCTTTTAAAACAAAAGAATTTAACAGTAATGACGGGAATACCTCTTTTGAGCTCATTTGAGATGAGGTCTTCCAATTCATCAACGATGGCAGAATAACAGAAAAAATATTGCTCCTAATGAACCACAAATTGGAGAGAGTTGGAACAATTCTTGTAAGAAAATGTTGAAACAAAATGAGAGAGACAACAGTATTCTGAAATATTTACAACAAAACAAACCAGTACTCTGAAATATTTGTGACATTTTCTATCAAATATTAGGATTAAGCAGTTTAGATAAGAATCGAAATCCAACCAAAACCTCCAAAATTCAGCAGAATTTAAGTGCCATTCTCTAACACTCTGATTGTTTTTCCTAGATTGACTTCTATGAAACTCTTGTTAAATTCTGGTTTGTCTTAATCATTTATAGATTTTAACCAACAGAGTTTTTAAGCACAATGATACCCTCAAAAAATTTGGGTCAGTAACTTCAGCTCAGGTACTAACACCATAAGTAATCACAGAACAAACTCACTAACAGCAAAGCTTATGGCATCAACAAGAAAATGCCTACATACTTCTTTCATAAGTAATGAGATTTATTCAAAAGCACCAAGGAGGCACAACCCATGTACACAAAAAGCATACTCGGGAAAAATTAGTGCAAGGAAACTAAATTGTCTACAAGAGAAATAAAAAATGATGAAGAATTTCTGAGTGTTAAACCAGTAGATTTATCATTTGCCAATGAATTGGCCCAGATTCGATCAATAATGGGATTTTTGAAATAAAAAATGAAGAAGGTCCATCTAAAAAAGGGTAAAATGCACTTTAGGTCACTGTGTTTTGCCCCGAATTCAATTTTGGTTCACCGTGTTTCTATTTCTCCCCATTTCGTCATTGTGTTTCATTCCATTCACAAATCCAGTCCAATTGCAAACATCCCTCCATTTACACGCACATGCGTGGCTATTTTAGTATTTCGCCACACTCATTCCCAATTCCTCCCACCATTCTGGATGCAGTAGGTGGGAGCGAGGAGAAAAAGGGGGAAGGCAGAATGGTGGGGGTAGGGGTTTAGTGTGATGGAGAAGATGGTGATATTGTTTTTTTTTGTTTTTAATATGTTTTCTTTTAAGTTTTTTTAAATTAAGTTTCAAATGTTTATTTTATTTAATTCACGTGGCGTCATATTATTGGATATGTGGGACCCACATATGTGGCACATCATCAACTTAACAGACTTTTTAACGAAATCTGACGAAAGGACTATTGTGAGAACACTTATTAACCTTAAGGACCATAAATGACAAAAAAAATAATAATAAATAAAGGACTCAATGTAATAGTTTCGCAAACCTCAGGGACGTTTTGTGATAATAAGCCTTTTTTTTTTCTCTCTTTCTCTCTCTCGTCAACATTAGCAAAGAAAGTACATGTAGATTATGAGCTGAGGTCTCAGGTACACCTTGTGCGTTTGTTGTTGCTAGTGAACTTTTGCGTATTGAGATTAACCCCTTTTGGTTGTCATAAGGCGAAACCAAGAATTTATATTGGGGTGGGCTAATTTTTTTTGCGTGGACGTGGCCCTTACTCAAACAAACTGCGAGCATGCGAAAAGATTACAATTTGTTTGAAAAGGAAATATAAGTCATGTTTGAATCGAGGAAGGCCGATGATAAAGAATTAAAGGAGAAACAAGACCAGTTTCAGGCGGCGAAGGAGGCCTTCAACGAGTCCTTCACTAAGTTTAGAGTTGAGCATAAAATTGTTGTGGGGAATGAGGATGATGCAGCTGACTTATGTGATTTGGTGAGACTTAATTAGCTGTTAGCAGCACTATTTGTTCCACCAGAATAATGATGCATCACACAGTTCTTCAATAAGCAAGTAGGTGGACCACTTCCAGCATTATGGAGCATTTCTGTTATTGATCAAGCTGCCACAAAAATAGCAGAAAGCAGCGCATATTTATTCATGATTAATACTAGAGCTACATGTCAAAATGTTCTACAAACGTGCTGACCAAGAAAGCTATTACCCAATTCTAACCATGCTGTGGACACTCTTCTTTTAAAACAAAAGAATTTAACAGTAATGACGGGAATACCTCTTTTGAGCTCATTTGAGATGAGGTCTTCCAATTCATCAACGATGGCAGAATAACAGAAAAAATATTGCTCCTAATGAACCACAAATTGGAGAGAGTTGGAACAATTCTTGTAAGAAAATGTTGAAACAAAATGAGAGAGACAACAGTATTCTGAAATATTTACAACAAAACAAACCAGTACTCTGAAATATTTGTGACATTTTCTATCAAATATTAGGATTAAGCAGTTTAGATAAGAATCGAAATCCAACCAAAACCTCCAAAATTCAGCAGAATTTAAGTGCCATTCTCTAACACTCTGATTGTTTTTCCTAGATTGACTTCTATGAAACTCTTGTTAAATTCTGGTTTGTCTTAATCATTTATAGATTTTAACCAACAGAGTTTTTAAGCACAATGATACCCTCAAAAAATTTGGGTCAGTAACTTCAGCTCAGGTACTAACACCATAAGTAATCACAGAACAAACTCACTAACAGCAAAGCTTATGGCATCAACAAGAAAATGCCTACATACTTCTTTCATAAGTAATGAGATTTATTCAAAAGCACCAAGGAGGCACAACCCATGTACACAAAAAGCATACTCGGGAAAAATTAGTGCAAGGAAACTAAATTGTCTACAAGAGAAATAAAAAATGATGAAGAATTTCTGAGTGTTAAACCAGTAGATTTATCATTTGCCAATGAATTGGCCCAGATTCGATCAATAATGGGATTTTTGAAATAAAAAATGAAGAAGGTCCATCTAAAAAAGGGTAAAATGCACTTTAGGTCACTGTGTTTTGCCCCGAATTCAATTTTGGTTCACCGTGTTTCTATTTCTCCCCATTTCGTCATTGTGTTTCATTCCATTCACAAATCCAGTCCAATTGCAAACATCCCTCCATTTACACGCACATGCGTGGCTATTTTAGTATTTCGCCACACTCATTCCCAATTCCTCCCACCATTCTGGATGCAGGTACATTTTCAAGTGTCAGATTCATCAATTTTCTAATAATTTTCCACATAGTATCTAGTAGCCATACTCTCAGGGGCAGAGCCAAGGTCTTCTTTAAGGGCGCATCAATATATTATTTTAAAACACTACAATTTTGACGAAGACCAAAATTTCTAACAATAAATTTTAAGAAATACAAATATTAAAGAAACAAACAAAAATTGTAATTACAGTTGGAAAATTATGAAAAAAATTGTGTTTTAATTCATGATACTTACAAGTTACACCTCATGCAGTTTGCTGAGGGATGTCAAATTTTAGTATTTTTAATTTTAATTAAAATTAGAGAAAGGAAAATTGAGAGGATAGTGAGATGAGAGATGATAAAACTAAGGGGCCATTTGGTAACAATTTTGTTTTTAGTTTTTAGTGTTTTCAATTTTTTTTTTTTGGGTGAAAACAAGTTTAGGGGGAGAGGAGGCTACCCCATCCCAGGGTTAGGACATATCTAGGCCTCTTTGAAGACCTACAAAGGGGGTCTTAGCCCCTTTTTTGGTTTTTATAGATTACCCACCAAGGGGAATTGTCGGCAGCAGGGCTCAAACCTAGGCCTTGATAGCGAAGAGAACGATCCTTACCAACTCAACCAACCCTCGTTGGCAAGTTTTTATTTTTCAGTTAGATAGGGAGGAAATGCATGGAATAAAAGGAGGAAAAGGAGGAAAAGGATGGAATGGAATGGTACCTAAAATGAAAACCAAAAACCAAAACCAATTTCAACTAGTTTTTTCTTTCAAGGTTTTACTTCATTTCTCCCTTATTCCTCCCTCTTCCTCCCAAACGTTGCCTCTCTGTCTTTAACTAAAAAGCATAAACAAAAGTGTTACACAACAGGGCCTAAAAAGAAATTTTAAATAGTTTTTCATTTACTCTTTTCGGCTTTACACAATCTATCTTTTGGGAGTGAAAGATACCACCATGGTGTTGCCATGTAATATATTTATAGGCCAATGGGAATTTCCATTTTGTACAGAAAATTACATTGAGATAGGAATCAGGTAATTCATATAATTTCCATTTTGTTTAGCATTTACTGATGTTTTTGACATGTCGTGTATTCTACTATGAAGCTGCAAGGAATTTGCACGTAGCGAATAACTCAACCAAATAAAGTTGGTATTAATTATACCCTAAAAAATAAGAGAGTAATTAAACCAGTAAATATTTAGACAAACAAGGAAGAAGATACCAGTGTTTGGACCATTCCAATTCGCTGAGACCTAAATGTGGTTACTGTATCAACAAGATCTAAAGCAGACATGTCCCCAGCTAGAATTCTTTGGACTGTATTATGAATTGTGCAGTATGTTCCAGTTCTGCCAATACCTGCACTGAGCAAGTGAACAAGCGTGTCAGGCAAACATGTAATATAATTTACCAAACATCATCGGGAGATATATGAAAGTCATAAAAAAGAGTTTTAACCTGCAGTGCACCACAATGGGGCCAAGATTTGGTGGTACTTGATATATTCTTTTCAAGATTTCACGGACAGCAATACTGTCCTCGGGAACTCCATGGTCAGGCCATTCAGGATACTGAATATGCAATACAGACATGGGTGGTTCCTCTGACTGAAACAATAACAAGTAATAATGAACATCTGCGTCTACAGGTCAACAGGACTGCATCAAAGCATATATATGTATATATTATTAATTAAAAGAGAAGAAGGCTCCCAATGCCTTTTTATATTAAAACCGCTCAATGTAAGGAACATGGATAAGAACCAAAAAGTGAGTCTTATTTTCTTTTCACAAGAATGTAAAAGTGAATCGGGAGACAAAAGGTCAGGCATCTTAAATCAATTCCTAAATGAGAAAAAAAAAGAGAAAAGAGAATCTCTAAAACCGAACTTAAGACAACTAAAGGCCACACATAAATACCGAACAACATAACAAGGCCCATAATAAGTGCCATATACTGCTACCACATTCAGATCCATCAAAATGACTCACGCATACACTCCAACTCAAATTCGGTCAACTAAAGATGAAAGGCCTTAAACTAGCACATCTAGTAATCATTGTTCTCAGACACTACGGAAAAGGAGAACATGTCATAATTCAAAAGTGGTTATTAAGCAGAAACATGCATCAATAGTCAAAACAGAGTCCAGATGGAAATAATATAAAAAAATCTGTTTGGAAACCAGGAGATCAGATCTCTTGTTCTTTATTCTTCTTCTCTTTTCCTTTTGGTTCTTGACCTTCAGAATGCGATGTAGTAAAGATAAAAAATGATGCAACAACTCATGAATGACTAAGAATTAATATCAAATAAAAAGAAAGATCTTACTCTGCTTCTAACCCATCACACACTATTACATCATTCTGACATTAATTGCAATACATTCTTAAGGCTAATGCCTGAATGAAGTCGTAAGCATGCACACACTATTACAAAATTTTGACATCAATTTCATAACATTCTTAAAGCTAACACCTCACTAAAGTTATAAGCAAGCCTAAAGGAAAGAATTTGCTCTGTTTCTTCTAACCAATCAAGCACTATTACATCATTCTGACATTAATTGCACAACATTCTTAAGCCTAAAGGAAATAAGACAACTGATATAGCTTAAGTTCTAATTATATGCTTTACTATTCATCTAACAGACATTCATATCCTGGACAAGAATGCAAATTAGGCAATGCCTTACCTCTTTATAGTCCACCTCCAGAAGGCGCAATTCTAACGAAGTTTCAGTAGTTCTTTGCCACTTAGTGACTATACATATATTACCAAATTCTCTAGGGCCATCTTCAGACTGAAAATAATCTCCACACTTAACCATCTGCAAATGCATGGGAAAAGATTAAGAAATTAGGACAAAATAATAATGGTAAAGTTTTGTAAAATTATAGATCCACCTAATCTGAAAATGAAGAAGTTGTTTTACAATCAAAAGCATAAAACGACAAACTGACACTTGTACGAATGTTTTGCTATGAAGAAAATATGTCACATAAATTTAAGAATCAGTAGGTAGGATCTTTCAGAAAGGGTTGTAAAACCTAGAATACAGCTGCTTATTCCAGTTTTGCATGATAATCGAAGTCTCTATAACTGTATATCTTCCAATGAGAAGATGCCCAAGAACAATTATCTGCAACTCAACAAAGGAAAGTACCCTGTAATTGTCGACCAAGCGAGTAAGCATGATGACCACAGGGCAACGCTGCTCAAGTACCATCTCCCAGAAGTCCTCGTAGGTGTGTGGAAGTGGACCTTGTGTTGCTATAAACCGGGAAATGCTTTCGGAGGAACTAGTCTACAGTTAAGAACCACTACTGAACAGTCATTAATGTGTTGCAAAGCCGCCTACTACATCATTTCTAATTCCAAACACAAATACAATTATTTATTTAGAGAACATAATTTTTATACCGAGATTAAGCTGGCATTGATGTAGCCCCTTGCTGAAGGTCTGTAATCCTTACAGGAGTTGAGAACAACCCTATTTGTGTCAACTGAATTTTCAACCACAAAAATCCAAACCCAACTATGAAATCCAATTTTTGAGCATGTAAACTGTGAAATGTTAAAAAATATTTAAAAATAAAAATAAAAACCCAGATTGAAACATACATGGTAAGACATCGGTGTATCGGTTTTTGCTCAAATTGACACTATCAAGAGCCACAGTGCAACTTCTCTTCATATCAGATGATGTTATCCTCTTCGCCTAGCATTTATGAGAAATTTTAATAAATTTATTTTGTGAAAAATTAAAAACACAACGAGCAAAAAAGACCTGTAGCTGAGCGAACTCATGGTGGATTTGGTCAGAAGTCTGGAGCTTGTCTTTGAAGAACTTGAGAGCCTGAGAGCAGTACTTGTACTGATCGGGGGTTAGGGCCAGTCTGAGTGGCGGAGAATCGGCGGAGAAGTCCAAGGAAGGGAGGGGTTTGGCTGCGGCTGCAGACGCGGTGGCCGCCATTGCCGTCGGTCTCCGGTGGCTGCGTGAGCGCCTGGAAATGACGTTCCCCAGTTTTTGGGGTTTTTGGTTTTTGGTGGTCAGAATTTGATTTGATTTAGCTTGTTGCTATATTGTAATATTATTATCTTCAGAGTTGCGATTTGTATTGAATTGAGGGGATTGGTTATGATCGGGTTTAATTTGGTTTCGTCTCCCAAAACAGCAGCCAAATCAATCAATTGGGTTTTAGTCTGGTTTGAGGTAAAGTAAGTGGAGAACCAAGCCACGCCAAATCATTATTGGGTGGGTGGTTTCGATTTGGAAATTTTTTTTTATTTTTATTTTTTATTTTTAAATACAAGCCATATTGAGAGAGGGTGTTAGGCCATCTTCAGCCATAGACTATATCCCAAATATGGCCCTAAAATAATACAAAAACCATCTCCAGTCATGGGCAAAACAAAATTTTGGCCAAATTTGGAGGGCCACATTTGGCCATTTAGCCCTCCAACCAGGCCACATATAGCCCAGCTTTGGGCTAGACCAAATTTCTAGTGGGACCCATACATGTGCTTTTCAAGAACCCCACTAAAGCATGCTGGACCTTTTTGAATGTTCCAATTTGTACTGTATGAGAAAAAAAGTATAAAATATTGTTGGTAAATGACCGTTGGGTCAGACCTACCCCACTCCCTTTTTAAAAAAATAAAATAAAATGAAATAAATGTGGTCAGACTCTCAAATCTTTCAAGTGTTGTTTTAAAAAAAATTATAAAAAAAATATTGTTGATGACCTTTGGAGATGAAACATTGAACCCATCCTTTTTTTTTATTTATTTTTTAATAAATGTCTTCACGTTTTTAGATGTTTTGTGTTGTTTAAAAAAATTATAAATTTTTTTGGGTCATGACCATTGGAGGTCAGACCCTTGAAACCATTCCTTATTTTATTTTATTTTTTAATTGCCTTTGTTGGCTTTATTATTATTAATTTTTAAAATTTAAAAACCTAAAATTTGTTTATAAATACCTCTCCCACTCATTTCATTCCACATTTCTTACAAATTCTATCACATTCTCTACTTATTCACAACTTTCCACTCTTTCTTGTTGTCAAATATTATACTCATTTCCTACAAATTTATTTTCTTTACACTCTTTCTTGTTGTCTCTAAATAGTAGTTTAATTAAATTAAACAATATATAGTTGTGGAATGTATGAGTATTGTATCATAGTTTTTCTCAAAATAATAAAATATGAAGAATCCTAAAATATAGCCCTGCATGGCTGGAGATGGAAAAATTTAGCCCTGCACTATTCTTTAAAAAATTAATATTTTGGGGGGCTAAATTTTTAGTCCTGGACTACATTTAGCCCTATGGTTGGAGATGGCCTTAGGACCTTGAGTGCAAACTTGCAAACAACAAACAGTAAATGCTCTTAACCATTTAAACTTTATAAGCCCTTACGATTGTGATTGTGAATCGAATTTGTATTTTTGTATTAATGTGATAGCCAAATTAGGATGCAATAAAATATATCTTTTATCATAAATTCACCTTTAGAGTGATATAAATGAAACCAAAGTGTCTACTTATGCTTTAGCTTCTATTGTCCAAAGCCACTACGAGACATTCTGTTTAGTTGGCAAGGTCTTTGGAGTCCCTATGAACAGTAGAGTCATTAGGCATAGACTTAAGAGTAAGTGGAAAAATATGCATGGCAATGTTACGATTGACCACATTAGTTGTGATTAGTATAAGGTGGAGTTTACTACTAAAGAAGATGTCGTTTTTGTGTTGGAGAACAGACCTTGGTTTGTCCAGGGGAGATTTTTGCGCTCCAGCGTTGGACCCCAGACTTTTCCCCCTCCCATGCTACTGTCACGTCCATTGTTGGCTGGGTCAGAATTCCCTTTTTGCCTCTCCACTATAAAGACTCGGAGGTGTTACATGATCTGGCTTCTATCCTTGGAGACCCGATAAGTGTTGACTTGTAGTCTACTGAGGGCAAGAAGAGTATGTTTGTCTGAGTTTGCATGCTGCTAGACCTAACTAGGCCTTTGAAACGTTGTCTAGTTTTGGGGGAGAGCCCTCAAGAAACCAAAATCTATGTAAGTTATGAAGCAATGTTTGCTATATGCTTTTATTGCAGCCAGAAGATGGAACGTGGTCATGTGTGTCCTATAAAAATTTCAAACAAGAGTTTTCTCCAAGTGGAACGTTTGGAGAATGAGCCTAACGTGTTCCCTAAGGATTTAGTCCTCGAGATAGAGGAGCAGCAAAAACTAGCTGAAGATGTCATTTTGGTGTTCCCACAGCCTATCACTGTGGATTCCTTTTTTGCAGAGGAAAATTATGATCATGGGGAGAAAATGCCAAATGTGGTTCAAGACCCTGGGTGGACTGTTGTGTCTAACTGTAAAGGTAAAGCTAAGATGCAAGAGAGAGATGGGAGGACTTTTAGAGAAGTAGCCAAGGGGGTCAAGATAGTTGAAGTAGGAGGTTCTCTTGCTGTATGGACTAAGGTTCAGGCCACGGGTCTGAGTAGCAAGGGGCACAACAAGGTTGTTATGTCGGCTTCTGCTTAATCTCAAGAAGGCAGTAGTGCTTTCACTACTTTTGCTTACAAAAGCCCTAAGAAGAGGGCACGTGATGAAGATATTGTGGAGGAAGATTCCATGCCTAGTGTCGAGATTGTTGTGCGAAAACACTTCCAAGACCTTGTCGTTGATGGACTACGCAACAATCACAACACAAGCTACGCAAAGATAAATCGCACACGAAACCACAAAAGCAAACACACACAAGAACACACAAGAATTTATAGAGGTTCGGCGTCGTGCCTACGTCCTCTCTGGTGATCCCCGAGAAAATTCACTAGTATGAGAAAAATCCCTTTGGTTACAATAAAGAACTCGGTAGCATTATGCAAATTCAACATAAAACTACTATTGGTCGTTACCTTGGGATTAGTAATATTGTCTTTTGGAAAGATCCTCTCAATGCCAAGAATATGGTGGAAAGAATTAAAGGTAAATTTGCTGGGTGAAAGGCGCAAACCTTGTCCAGAGCTGGTAGGCTTACCCTGATCAAGGCAAGTGTTTATGGTATCCCCAATCATGCTTTATCCTGTTTTAAGTGTCCTTCGGAAGTTAGCAAAGTGATGAATTCTACTTGTAGGAATTTTTTCTGGGGCAACCATAGTTCCTCCTGTTTCTTGGAAGGAGGTTTGCACCCCTAAAGAAATGGGAGGCCTTGGTGTGAGGTTGGTTTCCCATTTTGATAAAGCTGCTTTAGCTAAACTTGGTTGGATCTGTCTTACCAATAACTCTAATTGGTGGGCTCAAATTGTTAGAAGAAAGTATTTATAGAAAGAAAGTTTTTTAGCTCTCAAAAAGAAGCCTTCTCATTCCTCAGCTTGGCAAGCAATCTTGGATGCAAGAAATGTTCTTAATATAGGAATCAGGTGGATAGTGGGAAATGGTAAGTCCATTCCTTTTTGGACTGCCCATTGGGTTTTTGCTTTCCCCTTTATTGATCTGATCCCCATGACCCAAAGAAGCTCTCTCAATCTTAATTTAGTTGTTCCTTATTTTTTTTAATTGAACAATAGTGGAATACAAGTAAGCTCCAAGAAATTGTTGATGAGGATATCATAGACAAAAGTATCTCTATCCCTCTTCCCTTAACCCCCTTGGAGGATCAACTAATTTAGGGCCCTAACCCTAATGGAATTTTCTCCATTAAAAGTTCTTATAATGTGCAGATGCAGGAAGCTTCTCATTATCCTTAAGCAGCTCTTCTAAAGAAAATGTGGGGTCTCACGATCCCCCATAAAGTCAAAATTTTCTCTTAGTTACTCATCAGGAAAAGACTTCAAGTTCGAAGCCATTTACATCGCTTCCTTCCCCAGATTAATCCTGAATGCCCATTCTACAATGCTCACAGGAAAACCATTCCTCACCTCTTCTCAACATGTCACTTTGCTCAAAGTGTTTGGAGCTATTCCAGCCTAGCACATGTGATCTCTTCTCCAAATTTTGACTTCCTCACCTAGTTGGGTTTGCTACCTTCTTCTTTTACCTCTAGAGGCCCTGACAATTTTTCCAAAGCTCTACTGCTATGTTGGCAGATCTAGGAAACAAGGAATAACCTGATCTTCAAAGATATCAACCCTCATCCTGCTCGTGTGCTTAATGTGGCTGGGCATGTTGGTTGGGACTATTGGCAGCAAAACTGTAAGAAGGTGGAAGGGCCTAAAACTCCTCTTCATATTAAGTGGAAACAACCCTCCCTCATAGATGATGGCGCAAAGTTCTTGTTGAAGAAGATTCTAAACTTATTATTGACTGCGTTAATGAGAAAGCATTGGCCCCATGGAGTATTAGCCTTTTGATTAAAGATATAACGCTTATCAACTCCTTCTGTGATTCCTGCTCGTTTAGTCATGTTTTTTGTGAGGCAAATTTTACGGCTGATGCTGTTTCTAGTTTGGGTCATGGG